GGCTACGATGGACAATCTTTCTGTCCAGTTGGCTATTATTGCTCTATAGATTCAGAAAAGAATGGTAATAATTCAATAATTATTCATAGCATATTTATAGTAATAGTTAGCATTTTTATTCTATCTTATTTCATAAAGAAAAAAAATGTGCCTATAATACTCATTTCGAATGGATACTATCAGTAAGGTATATTGATTGAATTAAAAAAATTATTTTCTATTATATTGTTAATTTTTTTTTTATTTTTGAATATACTTACAGGACGATTATGTTGTCAACTTGGAGTAGTAGGAGTAAAAATACCACCACCACCAAAAATACCACCATATTTTGGATTACGACCATCAAATCCAGGCGAAATAATCCCACGTGGATCATTGCCATCTGATTATGTCTCATTGAAGCAACGTTAGTTGATACTAATTAAGAACTTTTTTTTTTAATGATATTAATGAGTGAGTAAAAATGATGAGTGGATAAATAACAAAAAATTTCAATCGTTTAAAACTTTATAAAATATGCAGTCTACAGATTGCAGATTGTAACAGCTAAAATTATTCATAATTCTTAAGGCCAATATATTATATATTAATTAATTAAAATTATTTTTATGAGTAGATAATTATTATTTCAGAAGCAACTGGAATATCAAATACAGCTGAGCCTAGTGAACAATATCAATCACATTTAGATTTAAGTGGCAAAAAATTAACTATGAATGGTTCTGATTCTTTTTTCTTTCTTTTCATCATATTAATATTTAATTTAAAATTATTAAAAAATAAAATGGTTAAAGTAAAAGTCATAAACAATGGCCATTTTGAAATTTCGACTTAAACTATTTTAACCATTCATTTAAGCTTTTTATTTTTAAGTACAACCTATAAGTGATTCGAATAGAGCAGAAGAAGATGCAATAGAACCTTCGGAAAATCTTATTCCATCTGATGAACAAACAACAGATTCTTCCGGAAATGTTGTTCCATCTGGTTAGTTTTCCTTATTTTAAAAATGCTTTTATCCGTGGAAAAATACAGTCAAAATATCTTTTTTAAAAATGAAATAGTATTAATCATTTTTAAATTGATATTAAATGTTGTCAAAAAGAAAAAAAGTAGTCAACCTAATGTTAAGTTAATTAAAAAGTAATTCTATAAATGAAATCAATTCAATGTTCTATCAAATTTTTAAATAGAGCTTTTTTTTTTCAACAATTTAATAATTATTAGATTGCATATTTTAGACTCTAAATTACAAGATGATATTTATGGTCGAATGATGCTTAAATCAAATGATCAAGCATTTCGCACACAAGGTTCTTTTTTTTTTGAGAAAAAGATAGCTGACTACTTGAGATAAAGAATTAATTACAAATTAATTAAATAATCTAATGATGTAATTAATTTTAAATAATTTATTTCAAAACACAAATCTACAATCTTATATACAAATGTATTATAATTATTGCTAAGATTTTCTATTTTCTAATTGGTTTGTATAAAGTTAGTAACGTTTATAGCACTTTACAATGCAATAAATAATGTAGCTTCACCTGAAGCAGAAAATAATGAAGTTCAAATTGATATTGGAGAAATGAAAGATCCATTCGAATCGTTGGAATACGCTCAAAAAAGCACTTCTGATCGAAGTATTTGTCTTCTAAAGCCTAGTGAAGGTTGTTATTTTATAATATTATTATTTGTTTTAATCAATAACAATTTTTTTCCTTTTTACAATAATAAATTAAATTCTATTCCTAGTAAATATTTATTCAAATTATTATTATATATATAACTAGAAAATAAATTTTAGGTCGAACATGTCGAGAAGATGAATCACCTCCTCGAACAAATTTACAGTATTTCTACAGTAATCGTGATAAACGTTGTAAACTTTACTTCTATCGAGGATGTGGTGGTAGTCAAAATCGATTTGATACTAAAAGGCATTGTGAATTAACATGCGCTGTAAGTATTATTTTTATTTTAATAAAAATGAAATATTAATTCTTTTGATCAAATTTTTTGCAAAATAAATGAAAATAAAAAATACTTATGAATTATTCATAATTAATTTCAGGGTGTATAAAACGTTGATTTTATCATAGAACTGATTGTTTTATTGATCCATTTCACGTGATCATATTCATCTCTAAATCAATCACTTCAGATCAACGTCATATATTCTATTAACCTTTGACATTACCATTTTGTTTGTTATTTATATATGAAAGAACAAATTATCAGGAGATTATCGATGCGAATATCTTTGTTTTTTCCCCCGTCTACCATTTGTTATTGTATCGATAGTTTTTAAGTAATACTTTTGAGTAATTAGCTTAATTGTTCAAAAATATTTTCTTTCAGAAATTTGGTTAAAATGTTTATAACTTTCATTCACAATCCAAATAAGAAAATAAGTAAAACAAGCAAAATATTTTTGAGAAATGATAAATTCAATAGCTATTTTACAATTATTACCTTAATTTAATCTTCATAGATATAATACATTCAATCAATATAATTATCCTCTAAGAAAAAAAAGGAAAAAATGAATCTAAACGATTAGGTCATTGATGATGTTATCTTCTTGTATGTACGTTTCTATGTCTATGATTTATACTACTTATAGGTTTTAATTAATCTATTGAAATTGAAGAATATTTATTGAGCAATTTAAAGAGGTCTAAAAATGATAATTATCAGAGATCACTTGGAAGGAAATGTTTGGTAGTTTTAAACATATCACAATTACAGTATAATAGAAAGTTTAATTAAATACACTATGCATTAATGATAAAAGGTTAATGTTTGTAATCGTATGTAACGTTTTATTTTGTTTACGTTACGCGATTATTATGCCAATTTGCTTTACTTAATATATTTTAAGTAATTGTTAATAATCAATAAAAGGTTTATTTAATATTCTGTCAGAGTAATGTTTGACACAACAAATGAATCATATTGGATGTAATGATACATTACTATCGAATATCATCATTGACATACACATAAGTTTACGTAACATACGTAAAATCTTCTAATTTTTTACAAGTATTGGATAAATTTTTTTAACCTAAAATTCAAAAAGTCTTTTAAAAAAATAATAGAAAGCTTGCTTTGTTTAATACAAAATTATTTAAAATATGATAAGTCAAAAAAAAGAGGAAAATCTATTCATTCAAATTTGCTATATTTAATTTTTTTTTTTATTCCTTTAATTATATGTTAAAAATTAAGAGAAAGAAAGAAATTAAAACAGTCATTTCTTTATTTCTATTGTTTATTATAACATTAAGCCATACAATATTTCTATTTTAACAAATATGAAAAGTGATAAAATGAATTAATTTTGGGAAGCTTCATTAGAAACGATTTCGAAAGTGGAATAACTGTGCTAACTCTACAAGGAAACTGTAACGATGATACCGTATTTCATATCTTATCTCCTGGAGTACAGTATCATACTACTACCGCGAATTATAATTTCGCGAAAACTTCTATTTAAAAAAATCCCATAATATCATAAATTATCTCTACATAAATCTACTTTCTTCAGATTTTTCACATGTGATTTTCATCTTAGATACGTTCAATTCTCACATATGTAAAACAATCTTACAGTATCTTAACCTATCTCTTCTTAAGTCTGATTTTTTAAGATTTATTACACATGTACGACAAAAATTATTGGTGCCAGAGTCGGGATCGAACCAGCGACCTTTAGATATTTTATAATTTTTGTCGTGAAAGGTTGTCTGGTTGATACTCGAATAGTTGCAATACAATAGGAAGATTAATAAACCTTTATTATCCGAAAACGTAATATTAATAAACAGAGCAATAAAAAGAGAAGAAATTTATAAAAGAAGACCGGAGGAATTGAAATTGGTTAACCGAGTAGTAGTTGGCCTTAAAGACAATAATTCATGTAATTTTTTAGGATTGAATTTTATATGAATGGTAATCGGCGTGTCTAAGATAAAAATCATATGTGTGAAGAATTGGAAATGTTATGAGAATTGAGAATTTATGATGTGAGATTACATGTGTGATAAATCTTAAAAAACCAGACTTAAGGAGAGATAAGTTAAGATACTGTAAGATTGTTTTACATATGTGAGAATTGAACGTATCTAAGATGAAAATCAGATGTGAAAAATCTTAAGAAACTAGATTTATGTAGAGATAATTTATGATATTATGGGATTGTTTTTAGATAGAAGTTTTCGCGAAAACTACGATCCATTTCATTTCCTATTATTAATCATCATATTTCGTTTTTTTTTTTTTTTTTTGCTATATTTTAATTTTTTTTTTCATTTCTTTAATTATTAAAAATGAAAAGGAAAAGAAAGAAATTAAAACAATTATTTCTTTAATCGCATTGTTTGCTATAACACTAAATCATAAAATATTTCTGATTAAATAAATATGAAAAATGATAAAATTAATTAATTTTGGAGAGCTTCATTAGAAATGATTTAAAAAGTGCAATAACTATGCTAACTTTATAATATACCTATGTAATACCGTAATTTTTATCTCGTAAGTGTATTAAATAAAAGTACAAAACGCATTACGTCGAATACTGTATTCTAAGGAATTACGGTAGTGAGGAATTTATAGTTTGCAAAGATTATCACTCACGTGTAGGTCTCGTGACGAAGAGCTGATTAGCGCGTAAAAGGATAGTTTGAATATGTCATTGATTAAAAGACAGATGTCACATAATGCGAGTGTTTGGATAATGGTTTTTGGTCACATTTTTTTTTTTTACTTCATTACTAGTAAAGTTTTATTATTAAGGTTAATTCTCATGGAATAACCACCGAAAAAATAGCTAAAAATTAACTTTGTATGTTCCAAAATAATTAGTGTAATATATTTATATCACAGAAAATGGCTAATGATCATCAATAAGTCATTATATTAAGAATTTAGCATCTTTTTAGAAGTTCTGCTGAAGTGAGTAGTCGAGTCGAAGAAATTAACAGGTAATGAATGAAGCACTTGGTGAATTATTGAATTTATTCGATGATGAGGAACAAATTGAAGGTATTTATTCTATTTTATTATTATCAATCCAATGGTCATTGCAAACATTGGTCAGCACTGAATGAATCTATTTGTTTTGTGTTTTTCCATCAATAAATAAGCATTTTTCCTACAGGTTATTTTTTATATTAATTTTTTTATAGTATATGTCATAGTTGATGTATAATTCTGTTGTAATTTTAAGAACAAAGTTTATTAAATATCAATGATGAAAATGATAGAGAGATTGAGAAGATCAGTGCCAAACAAGAAAAGGAAGAAGCGGCTAATTTAACTGTGCCAAATGCAATTAACGCGGATAAAAAACGTAAGTGTAAAATTTAAGCAATAATTGAAAAGTATTGTATTGTTTTATATGGATTGCTCACTTATTCTTATATTACTTTGTAAGCTTATTAACTTGCAATTTATGAAAGAAAAAGTGTAACTGAAATGTATTATTGTCACAAGCTATAATCATATATTAAACAAATAATAGCGTTGGCAACTTTCATGTTTTTAAGAAATGCTGGAAAGAATTTTTGTAATTCAATTTTAGCAATTCGATCTCTCATCCCAATAGATTTTGGATATTCTAAAGATAATACTAATAGCTATGACCAGAAGAAGAAAACTGATAATAGAAGCAGTTTGTTACATTGTGATGGTACAAGCTCGAGTGAAGACGAACGAAGTAGAAATGATAACGTGTGAGTGAATCAGACAAATTCTTTATATTGGTCTTGAACTTAATTAAAAGTTAACGAATAGTTTTATTTGTTTCATTTAATGTGCTCATTTTATTCTTTTAATCTCATTTTAGAATCTATCTCAGCGAGGCTGGTCGAAACATCAAACGGCAGTTGAAAGAAGCGAAACGAAGTCAGTCAAATTCTGCATATCAAGTCAGTCTTTAAATGAAATGCAGTGTATTCATAGTTCAATTTTTGTTCCTTTTTACCATTGTATTTATTTGTTCGTTTATTTATTTGTTAGTTAGTTTTTTCTACACTTTTTGGTGGCAAGATAGTGTTTTTTTTTTTTGGAATAATTTTAAAACTAGATTTTTATAACAGTTTTTTTGAGGTGGAATCTACGACAAGACAAAAACTTAGTGTTCAAGAAAATCGTCATGCACTTCAAGGAAAAGCTCAGCAAATAACAAGAGCTGTCGAGTCATCATCGAAAGATGCGTTGAAAGTTTATGATCAATTTTTTGGTATTCGCATCAGGTATTTAGTTTATTTTGAAACTGGTTTTTTTTTTTTATTTGTAATCGTATTATATCGCTTTTGAAAGGAATAAAATTTTTGTGTGGTGCAAGTTAAATTTCGGAAAAGAGAAGATAGAACATCTTTTTGTATTTTTCGTATAAGGATCTTTTTTCGGTATAAAGAAAATCTTTTTTTAACGGTATAAAGAGGATCTTTTTTATTTACACATAATCAAAAATTAATCTCAATTGGATATCAGTAATATAAATCATGGTATATCTTGTTACTGCAGGAACCCAATTCTTTCATCAGCAGCTTTTGAATCATACTGCGAAGGTTTGAAGAAAATCCGCTTAAGCCAGCTGAAATCCAGCTCTGTACGAATTTTATCTCAGTTGACTTTTTTTAAATCTCTTCATTGCTAGCATGATAAGTGATAGGCGATTAGCTAATCGTAGATGTTAATATAATTGTCGGTAAGGTTAAAGATTGTAATATTAAGATTGTAACAAATACAAAATTTAGGACTAATACGAATTAAAGATTGTAATAAGTAATGAAGTGCTTACTTTGTAGCAGTTAGACAATAAATGGATTTCCTTGGCAGTTATCGTAGAAAAACAGGTTGTCGTAAAAGCGCAAACGGAAATGAATATATGATCTGGAATACTTCCGACTTAACGGTACATTATTTTTAAAAACTGATTTGTAAATTCAGTGTTTTGATTGTTTATCATCCCTTTCTCCTTTAAAAAATAACAATTTGTTGTGGGTTATTAAGTGCACAAAATAAATTTTGCTAAAAATAAGAATGAAATTTTGGCCTTTTCAGAATTCTTTAGATGCAAATGTTAAAATTCTCGTATTCGGTGATTGTGTCAAAAAATTTTGGAAACTGCAGCTTGGTAGTGTTATTGCGCTTGTAACACCATCTTTTGCTGATGGCGATGATAAACAAAGTGAAATAAATTTTTTTCTTTTCAGTTCTTTTTTATGATATTAATTTTCTTCTTTTCACTTCTTTTTTATGACAGCAAACAAATCTTTTCTTTAGGCTTCGTGCATGCTTGTAGCGGTTTATCAAACTGATATCTCTACTGTTAAGCTTTTCTCTCTAAGTTATTCGATGTTATATTCAATTTTTTATTTTCTTTTTCATTTTCGTCTTCCTTTGTTCAGTTTTTATTTTTTTTTAGTAACAGTGAAATTAACGAAATGTGCACAGGTTTTAGAATTGGGATTTTGCCCTGATTTTGGTCGCTGCAAGGTTTGTTTCAAACATATTAGAAATAATACTCCTTTAATTAATTAGAAAATAATGATTAGAAAACATACTAATTATTGTCTATGATATTGGTGCAATAAAATGAGCAATAATTATGGTGAGTGAATGAAGTATTAATATTCTTTACAATTGTTTTATTAAATTTAAATTTGATAACGAAAGTTATACCGTTTACTCTTTCAATAGGCAGTCAAAAAAGATGGTGGATTATGTCAAAATGTGGTAAACTTATCACAGTGTGAACGTTGCATTTATCATGTTCAACGAGCAGCTCAAAATTCACAGCAAATCGTGGCTCATTTGCATCCGTATTATCAAATCCCAATCGAAAATTACCATTGCAGGAATCAAATTCACTTCCGAGTGGTATAATTACAATGCCAAGAAGGTAAGATTAGCTTGAAATGTATGTCGAGATATTTATGTTCTCTACTTTTATAAGATTGTAATCTTTGTACAGATAGAAAACAGCAATACCTCGCAAAAAGTCTAGAACTTCCAGAGTTTCAACAAATACTTTGTCGATAAATGAAAGCAGAAAGAATTTCAAACAACAAATTACTAGTTGTTTTATGAGATCGAAAAGTTTAAAGGAATGTGAAAAAATGAAATTGGATGCTTTAATTGCGAAAGAAGTAAGCTACTTTGTTAATTGTTACCCAGTGCATTTAATTAATTGTATCATTCACTGTTAACTCATTCTAACTGCTTAGTTATTTCATGCTTGAAGCATTGAGAGATGATAATATCAACTGATATGAATGACACAAAAGCAGCACGAGATCATTACACTGTTGTGGTCTAACATACAAACAAATTTCGTTGAAATCTTGTTTGTCCTGTTTATATGTCAATTTCTCCTCTGTGTAGAATTTTCATGATTTTTTATAGGTTGCAATTTTTGGATCAAAAAGTGCATCACAACCGCATGGAAAAGTATCAGGAGAAAGGAGTGATGAATCACTAAAAGAATTTCTACAGAAGCAGGTTTCTGACTCGCAATTTTTTTTTTTTTTTGGATTTTGGTTCAAATTTTTGAAGAATGGCTTACAAAACTTTTAGTAGTATTAAGTTAGTTCAGATTGCAGTTCTGCATTAGACAATTTTCTGTGAACATCCTAGAATAGCTAGAAAATGCAGGTTTTTCAAATATTTACTGAGCTAATAATATAGACTTTCTTTTTATCTCAGTTGCTGAATCAAAAAATTAGGAATCTAAAATTTTTGCATAAAGCAATTCTTTCTCTAACATTAATAGTAGGTTTAAGTTTTTCTGGAGAAAACATTATTTAGTAGCAAACAAGTGGAAATATGGCGAAGGATAATCATATTTTAGAGAAAAACTATTTTTAAACTATTGCGATTTAAAAATTCTGCTTATCAGTGTTTTCTTGCTAAAAAAATTCTACTTGTCACTCTGTTTGCACTTGCTTGGTGCAAATGTTTTCTAAGTAATACTAAAGCGATATATTATGCTTCATTATTCAGGATGAGAGCAAAAATTCAATGCATTCGCCAATCCTTGGCAAAGGCTTAAACTCTGGATCTGTTTTATTGACTAGTCCTAGAAAAATCAGTAAATTAAACGCTTCAGAAAATGCTAAGGTTAGTGAATTTTCAACAGCACTTATGTCAATATCGTTAATATATTTGGTATGGTACCATAACAACGATAACTGAGCTCGAATAAAGTCCATACTTTTACCTATTAAGTTATTACGTTTAATTCATTTAAAAACTCAAAGTGTATTGTAATTGTTTGCAGCGGAAAGCTATTGCAACAATAAAGAAAATAGGTGGTCTTGAAAAAGCTGATCCAAATTCAATTAACGGTAGACCTAAAAAAAGACGTTTGTTCTGTAAGTCATTCTGGTTTTTTCTTTTCCCTTTTTCTTTTTTTTAACCCTTCTTTATGTATTTTCACTATAACATAGATCTTATACAAAAACAAATTGTATTTGAATAAATTTGCTCATTTTTATCAAATGCCGTTTTCTTATATATTCATTTTCATTTACTTTTTTTGAATTTAATTGAATTGAAATCACTACGCAAACGAATTTGGTCTTAGAATATCTACTTTAGTTATAATATGAAAACACTGTGATGAATTTATAAAAGTTGATGTTACACTTTAGTTAATTGAATTTCATGGGAAGTTTTTCAGTTTCTCCAGAGCATAAAGGAGGTGAGCTAAAAATGAAATCCGGAATTGATGTGAATTGTGGTGACGATTCAAAAATCAGAGAATTCTCAAAGAAAACTGTTTTTACTGATGATGAAATTTTGAAATTGTTGGAGAAAAGAAGCAATCACGAGAGTGATCTCCGTCGGGTAAGCTCACTGATTGTTGCAATTATGTTATTATGATTATGCTAGACGAATTGGATTTCTGTTAGAATTCAGTCTTTGTATCATCACTATTTATATTTTGTATTAATAAGATTTATTTTAATTTTCAATACATCAAAGTATGATTTTAGAAACCGGGAAGCTCTATTATGCAGCAATTAAAAATTATTAAAAAAAAGATAATAATATATGATGATACGACTTATTTGATTATTTTAATTGTTGTTCAGTTTTAAATTCAAAATCTCCCATTCCTTCTAAAGATAATTACTTTCATCTAAAATACTTGCAATCTTTCTAGGAAGATTCTGTTCGTGAAGCACGTTACTTTAATGCCATGGAACAAAAAGAAAGATTTGAAAATTATCTTACCAATACCGTGGAAATTAAAGATTGTAATGTAGTTACGTGCACTCAGGTATATATAACATTTTAACTTTCAAATATTCTTATGATGTTTTGAGTTTTCAGACCAAAAAAAAAAAAAAAAAAAATCCAAAACTTCAAATTTTTTCTGATTACATTGAGATATTGAGAGAAAAAATGTAATTCGTTTATAACAAAGATTTTTTTTTTTTTTGATACCTATTTGTAGTTCTGCTTTGATAGTTGTTTTTTCTTTTGGTTTACTTTACCTTATTTCTTTTTTTATTTTTATGCTTTTTGATTATTCCGCTTTCTTTTTTTTTTTTTTTTTGTTTAATGGATGTTTCTTTGTGTTTTATTATGTTAGTAAGAAGTAACTTACCTAGTAATCATGTTTTGCAGTGCAATTATACGTCACATAAACAAAGTGAATTATGCAAGCAATTAAATCATACTGTGAAACAATGCAAAGCCAACAAACGATTCTTCCGCTGTAAACAATGTCATAGGCGTACAGTTTCATATGAACGATTGCCTACAGTTCCGTGCACAGTTAGTCTTTTTAATTTCAAACAGTTTAGGATGCAATTTAGTACTGATAAATGCAAAGGTTAAGTTTGTTAGATGAAATTACTCCATCATAACATTTAACAAAAATGAGAAAGTGACATTTGTCATATTTTAAGTTGCAAATTTTTTTCAAGTGAAAAATTTTTCTCAGCACTCTTAATTTTTTTTTCACAAAATAAGTTAAGTTTTAAGTAGCGGGAAAACAAAATTTTTAATTTCTATCATATTTTAAACATACAACAAGTTCACGTATCAATGACAATTATTTCTAGCAATGTGGTTGCAATGATTTTCAACGGGTAGCAATGAAGGATGAACGAAAAGTAAAATTAGCACAAGAAAATTTACTTTTACGTGGTGAAGAACGGAAATATGTTAATTGCTAATTTAGTTAGTGAATTTGTTGATTTTCTCACTATTTGACTTTTCATCGGATGAGTAGATGAAACTAATGATTTGAGCATTATTAACAAACTATCTGATCTATGAGATCAATCGAAATGTTTATGCATTCTTTTATTACCAATTGTTCTTTCTTATCGAGAATTAGTGAAAATTTTTGAAGTGAAAAAATATTTCATCTGTTACAGAGTTTAATTGTGGTATATAATTATTTTGCAAATGTTGTTGTAAATTTTGTTAACAATGAATTGTGATTTTAACTATATTTGAAAAAGCATTTGGTACATTTCTTTAATTTAGGATGGTGAAGCTACAAAAATTGAAGCAAGCTTAAATTGTTGAAATATTTGCTTAGCCTACAAATTTTGCAATATACATATATATAATTCGTATTTTTTTTGCATATGACAAATACGAATACATCAAAATAGTTAATGAATGTGAAATTTTATTCGATGAAATTTGTAGCATTGAAATATGAATAAAATAGGCAAATAATGATTATGAACGTATAATTTCATCCACATTTTTTATATGGAATTTGAAGTTAACTATGATCAAAAGATATAAAATGTGATAGAAGTTGAAATCTTTTATTTATTTTATTTATCAACAATTTTTTTCTTTTTTTTTTTTAAAAAAAAGAATCAGTAAATGATTGCAGATGATACCAAATCACTAACACCACAAATATCTTTGCCACGCATTAATCGAAAGTAACCATTTTCACCCCATTGCTCACCCCAACTATTCTTAATTGTCCAATAAGGTAAGTTATCTTCAATACCATAACCAGTAATCAATACTCCATGATTGATCTTTGATGGTGGACAACGTGATTTGCTTGGATGAAGAATTCCACTTTTATAATATGATAATAATTCAGCATCAATTCCTTTAAAAAAAAAAAAGGAAAATTCATTTGCAAAGATTGGTTCTATTAGTTAGGAATCAAAAAATTCGAATTTAAATTCTAAATATCAAATTGATAAAATTAAAAAAACCATTTCAATTGTTTGTCTTATAATTGATAATGTGATGTATTAGCGGTTTTAAATATCAAAATTTAAAAATTTCAATTGTTTGTGTTATAATTGATAAGGTGATTAACATATTCGAGAAAGTCTTATATGAATTTGCTTTAAAAAGTTAAAGATTAACTTTTATAATATTAGATTAATATTGGTTATTTTTTATATATTTTCTCTTTTACAATAATATCTTTTTATTCTAAGATAATTACAAGTAAAAAGTAATAACACGTACCAACAGAAAGTGGTCCACGTTGAGCAATCCACGCTTTCATCACGGTTTCATTACGTGGAATTTCTACGGCGTCATCTATACTAACAGCAATCTCTGCTCGGACTAAATGGCACGTTCCATTTCTCGCTTCATATGGATATTGATCTTCAGGTTCTAAACCACCTATTCGTTTTATTTCTCTAAAAACTTAAGTTTAATTTAAATTCTAATATAATTTAAAAATTATACCTCAAAAAAAAAAAATCAAAATCAAAGTCAAATTTTTCTTGCTTACTTTTTTTTCTTATTTTTGAGATCCAAAAATATTTTTGTTTTTTTTTTCTAAATCATCTTTTCTGTTTCTTTCGCATTTCAGATATTACAAACTAACCGGAAAGCATTAATTGGCAATCCACCATTGCATCCTTTATCAATCACATCACAATCAATTAATTCTTGTTCGGAAAGTGATATTAATTTACCGGTTTTAATAGCCCATAGACTTTCAATATTACCGGTAACGGAAAAAGCCCAACAACTACCACAAGAACCTTAATTGAAAATATTAAAAAACCATACTAAATATCTAAAAATTTAAATGATAATAATTTTTATCAAATAATAATTTCAATAAATAAATTTATAAACCTTGATCTTTTACTGGTGTAACAACTCCTTCTGTGCGCCAATCAAATTTACTTGGTAGATTATTGATCGAAAGATTAAAATCATTTAAATTAAATGTAATACCATTAGATTCTACTCTATCCCACCATATACTTGGTAACATAATCTGAAAATTTCCACCTTTTTTTTTTCTTTTAATTAAATATCTCTTATTTTAATATAACAATCAAATTTCTAAATTTAATTTCCAAAAAATATTGTTCAATCGCTTCTAATGAGAAACTTTATTATAATTAAATGACATCAAATATCTCTAATTTAATATAACAATTAAATTTCTAATTTTAATTTCCAAAAAATATCCTCAATCATTACTAATCAGAAACTTTATTATAATCAAATGAAATGATAGCATAATTCGTACCATCTTCAAATGCTTCCATTTCAATTTCATAAAATTTATAAATAATTTGCAAAATAAAATTTAACAATAAATTTCAATTCTAACTTTTTGAAATTCTTCCGCTGTCATATCGCTGAATTTTGTTGCACCATAAATTGCTGTCCCTTTTTCCTCAGATTGCAATTTTTTCGCAAAATTCATGTTTTGCAAATAAATTCTGAAACGATCCAATTGTTCCTCTATCGAAGAATATTCTCGTTTAAATCTGAAACATTAAAATTATTTTTATAAATGTATTTTTAATTTGAACTAATTTTTGATATCATTAATAAAAAAAAAAAGTGAATCATTTTGATAAATATCGAATTCAAATTTAATCTGATATATTGATTTATTTCTAGTAAAGCGATAAATGATGATAATTTATACAATCATATCAATAAAACCGATTTTTTTTTTTTTTTTTTTTTTTTGTAGAAATTAATTAATTCTAACTTTTTAATAAAAGTCAAGAAATCACTCCATAATGTTTTCTTTTCTTCGTTTTGCGATTCCTGTGAATTCATTGCCAAATCTAATGATTTCATATTCGATCTGTCACTGGAAGCAAATTAAAACTTTCAATATTTAATTTAAAATTTGATTAATAATTATCAAATAATAGAAAATAACCTATTTTCTTTGATTATTCGTTCTGATGGAACATAATCAGAACATGTCAAAAATTTAATTTTCCACGGCATTTTCCAACTTGGTTGAAATATTTCAAATACGCAAGCCTAAAATGAATAATAATAAAAATAAAAATATTAAAAATAACTTTAAAATAAGCAGTTTTGACAACAAAAACAAAAATAAAAAAATGGAAAATTATCAATATTTTTTGAAATAAACTATAGAAATAATTAAAATTAAAGTATTTATATAATTTTATAAAATTCAATCACTTGTTAAAGTTAAAAAAAAAAAAACAAAAACATTACCTTTAAACCAGTTTCATTTTTCGCTTTACAATAGTTACTGTCAAAATTGTTATCAACCTGAAATTTAATGAAACAAAAAAAAAAATAAATTTGTATTTTAGTATGAAAAACTAAAATGAAAGTAAAAGAAAAAAAAAAATTCTTACAGTTTTTGTGCAATTCGAAAGAGCAATTGCAATTTTCATCGAAAAATGCTTTCCGTTTCTTGGAATCGTATTAATATCCAAAATTTTTACCGGAATCCATCGATTCTTATCATTTGATATACTGCTATACTCTGCCATTACTGATGACAACAATTTCTATATTTAGAATAAATTAATGATAATTATTTGAAAAATTTTAGAAAAAGAAAATCTTTTTTTTTTTTTAAAAAATAATTCTACTGTTAAATAAAACTGATAGTGATATTATCATATTAATAATTTGTAAATATTAGGCAAATTTTACTTTTATTTTTTTTTTCGAAAAAAATAAATATTTATTAGCAGTTAGCATTTTATTTTTTAACATTTTAATCACTGGCTCTTTTTTTTGATTTAATTTGGAGGAAAAATTTAAATTCATTTTTTACGTCTTTAATTTATTATAGAACACAATAATTATTTATTGTAAAAGGTAATTTTATATGTTAAAAAATATTGAGCTAATAAGTTTACAATAGAAGCTTACAATATTAGTTGTCTTAATTCATTTTTAATTTCTTTTAAAATTAATTCATTTAATTTCATCTTTGGCTAAAATTGATAATAAAATTTTTTCTTACCTCATGTTTGCTAACAAAAAGACTAGGCTTCTCAATTGCTAAGATAACTTGAAGCCCAAATAAAATTATCAAACAATTAGCCAACATGTTATCACTATTGAGATGAAAATTTGATAATCTGTAAGATAAAAAAAGAAAAATGAAAATAAATAAATAAACAAAAGAAACAATCCAACTATATTCTGTAATTTTTATTTAAGCTTACATAACTATGCAATAATAATAATAATAATAATAATAATAATAATAATAATAATAATAATAATAATAAGTGTGATTAAAAGATTTCTAATTTTAAAATAAAATACAACACAAAAAAAAAAAAAAATGAAACATAAAAACTAAAAAAGGTATATGAGACTATAAATGTGCTTACAGTATAGCTATCAAAATGTTTATAATACTAAAATTCAACAAAATCGCTAAAAGAAAAAAGAAAAAGAGAGAGAGAGAGTGAGAGAGAGAGAGAAAGATATAAACAATTTAGAATAAAATATAAACAAAATATTTTAGCTAAATGTTAGATAAAAACGATTGATGAAATTTACATTTTTGTCGAACATTACAAATAACACTAATGATTGTATATCAGTGCTGATGTAAAGTAATGAAAAAGATATTTGGATGGATCGATCGATCGGGTTAATACGATCGGATTATTTCCATCTGATGAATTCCCTTCTTCCTTCCTTCCTTCCTTCCTTCCTTTCTACCTTCTCCTCTCACCTTTCTTTACCTGTGTTGTGCTTCTCAAACAGCTGTCCTATAGCTAAAATATCTTCTCTTCTGCTTATATCTGTGATCGATACTTAAGCATCTCTTAACAATCATTCAAAGATCATTATCATCATTATCAATTATCATTATCATCATTATCATCATCAGAAATAACAAAAGAAAAAAATAGCCTTAACTAATGCTAGCTAATATTTAGTGAATTTTTTATTTTTATTAAAGGTC